GGGGTAGATACTATATCTTTCAAAGCATAGTCAGAAAACCAGGTGGAAACTATATCATTTAATGCATAGTCGGCAGTTCAGGGGTAAACAATACATAATTTAAATCATAGTAAACAGCTCAGGGGTAGATACTATGTCTTTCAAATCATAGTCAACAGTTCAGGGGTAGATACTATGTCTTTCAAATCATAGTCAACAGTTCAGGGGTAGATACTACATGTATGTCTTTCAAATCATAGTCAACAGTTCAGGGGTAGATACTAAATGTATGTCTTTCAAAGCATAGTCAGCAGTTCAGGGGTAGACATATCTTTAAATGCATAATCAACAGTTCAGGGGTAGACATATCTTTAAAAACATGTCCAGCAAAATTGACTAATGATTTTTGTGATGTTGTCTATAAAACAGGTTTATTTCGGACCGTGACCTCTACGCCTTTATAGAACAATATGTTCAACTTTAAGATTTTGATTTTACAAGTCTTATTTGTTTCATGATTCTTCTGCCTGGTACAGTTGATAAACATATTTTGCATGAAAGATTTTATTTCTTGAAATACATTCTTATGTCATTAAGACAGCCCACCATAATAACAGTGTAAGAAAGGGGGTGGGGAGGGGGAATGAAAAAATACATGTAAATGTATGTGAAAAATCATGCAATTAATCAATGTGACAGAATTCCTATTCAGTCAAATATTAATCTCAGAAAATATTTGTAGGTAAAATTATTTTTAGAATATTATGTTTATTGACATTTTCTGTAAAAGTTTTATGTCTTCCTTAATCAACAAAGTCCCAGGTTTTCTCAGCAAGTTGCCAGTGAGCCTTAAATAAACGGTTACCTGAGTATCATTGGTTTCAGCACATACAATCATGTGCTTCAATATGTGACCAAGTTAGCCCTACCCTGGGGCCTGATCAGTAAAATTGTGGGACTTAAAATTGAATTCTAGTATATAATTTCTGTCCAGGGCTTACTGGCAACATGTAACTTTGCCTGCTAGATGTCCATGAGTAATAAAGAAGATAGAATATTTCTAAGATAATTATTGCATTTTTCAATATAGGCCCAACTTAACCCCACTCTGGAGTCTGAACTCGAAACCCGGGGCCACTTTTTCATCAGGAATAGATATGTAACTAGGCAAGAACTCTGAGACAAATTGAAACGAACTTATAAAAGTGCATTGTCAAGTTGCATGCATGCATCTTTTACTTCAAAAATTTGTCTGAAACTAATTTATCTCTCATTAAAGAAATTCTACAACTGAGAAACAATTTTAATCTACTGTTTTATCTATCAAAAGCAAAGAAAAATCTGATGCTTCATGTAATCAGCAATAGAAATTTTCATATATCCAAGTGAATTTAAATTGAAATAGAAGACATCACAGTTTCTACCATACATGTCTCATAATTGGATATTTTATATACTATCTAGACGTTACATTCTCAATATGGGGGCGTAGCGGGAACGATAACTCTGGATCATAGTGAATGATAGACGTTAACCGCCAACGAAGGATATGACGTCACACTCAAACCTTGCAATATTCGATATTTTCCGTTTGCATTGTAAAATGCATTGTATAATTTCTATTTGTATTGTATAATCTTTATTTGTATTCTATATTTTTTCATTCGAATTCTATAATTTTTCTTTTAAATTGTATAATTTTTCATTTAAAATTCTATAATTTTCCATTTGAATTCTTTTTTTCTATCTCGAAAATTATACAATTATTTTACTCAAAGGGAAAATAATACAATGCAAATGGAAAATTATACGATACAACTGAAAATTAGTACAATACAAATGGAAAGTTATAGAATAAAATTAAAATTATAGAATCCAAACAGAAAATTATAAAACACAAATCAAAATTAAAGAACACAAATCAAAATTATAGAATACATACAAGAAAACAAAAGAAAATTATATAATACAAATGGAAAAGATCGAATAAATTGCAAGTTTGACGTGCCATAGAAGAACTAAACTACTTCCTATATATTCGAAGTAACATTCCACCGTCCGTGGCGTATATTCCTTTCTGCTAATGTGTAGGCTAGTGTGAAGTCACAAGGAGCTCCCTCTCGATAGGTATTCGGGGGGGGGGGGGGGGGGTCAAAGGAAGCATTTGCAAACCCAGACATCTACACGCTACAATTTCATAATTTGACCATTAAAAATAATATTGTAGACATAATTTCAGTTTATATCGTGATATGAAGACCACTTAACAAAACTGGGAAGTCTTAACTTATTCTTTACTCTGCTTAGAAAATAAGGAAACTTCCTTACTGAATATAATCAGAATTCGAACAATACGTTTAATTTCCTACTAACTAAATATATTTCTTCAAGTTATCAATTTCATTTCCTTTATTGCTTTCGATCGATGAAATTTCTGATACAGACTTAATATTAATAACACTTGATCTTTGGCTTAAAAAATTCCAGCTATGGGAATAGTTTTGTCCTTAAATATGAAACAAAACTGTAAACATAATCGGATAGGTATAAAAGTGCGGATTGCTAAGAATGCTTTTTTGGCATTTGCAACAAAATAAAATTAATAGGTACGATTTATTATCAACTCCCCACCCCTTTATTCAACCAAATTTATATCCCTGAGAAAATGATGTGTAGACTACAGTCTTTTGCCTAAGTGGAATATACGCCACAGATCGTCACCTGCATATGGCACAGACAAAATTTTTTTTTTTTGTTTTAAACAATAAAATGCTTTCTTTGGTTGTTAGTACGGGAATTAATGTCGCAGCTGTTGCAGAAAAAATACATAACCCGCGTGAGCGGGTTATGTGAATTTTTTTCTGCAATAGCTGCGACGTTAATTCCCGTACTAACAAACAAAGAAAGACATTTTATTGTTTATATTTATATCTTTTAAAAAAAACAAAAACATTCAACGTAAATTAAATATGTTATATATTGTATTATAGCTGTGTATGTCATTGTATGCAAAATTGATGGAACAGCCATTGCTTAAGAAATCTATGCAGGTGGCTTGCTTAGTGTTGTTTATGGACTGATTAATGGCAATGGTTTTTATAAGAAATAAACGAAATGATATTCAGTGGATGTAAATATATTAGGCTTAAAACAATCACTTTTATCTGATCAATAAATGCAGGGGGGTCACGGTGGGTTTCGGTCGACAGAAGATGTTTATCCCTCCTACTGACGTACTTGACCCCACTTCTCTGGTATTCCCAGGGGACCCTTTTTCGATCTGTTCACAATTTCACAATTTATATGAGATCGATCACTGTTAAATCTGCTGCCATCATTTTCCCCGCAATATCAGTTATTAGCGTAAATTACGCTCTTCCCAAATCTAAACCAGGCCTGAATATTGTCTGATTAAAATGAAAAGACTTTGCCGATGACCTGGCTCTACTTTCGCACAACCACAGTCAGATGCAGGATAAAACAACTCGCCTAGCAACAACATCAGCAGGAACGGGACTCAAGATCAACTTGAAGAAATGATGAAGATAAACAACACTGCCCAAACACCAGTCTTAGTTGGTGGTGAGCCCATCAGAGAAGTTGAGTCCTTCATCTACCTGGGGAGTGTGGTGGACAGACAGGGTGGCACAGACTGTGACATCAAGTCAAGAATTGGCAAGGCAAGAACTGCATTTACCATGCTAAAGAACATCTGGGCCTCAAAGAACACCCACATTACTACCAAACTGCGGATCCTCAACTCTAATGTAAAGTCCGTCCTGTCGTGTGGTGCAGAGACGTGGAGGTTGACCAAAGCTACCCTGCAGAAGATCCAGACATTTTACAACACCTGTCTCAGGCGCATCTTCAACATCCGATGGCCTGAAAGAATCACTAATGAAGAACTATGGAAAAGATCAGGGCAGGAACCAATGGACGTACAAATCAGACAGAGGAAGTGGGGCTGGATTGGACACACGCTAAGGAAGCCACCATCCAGCATCACACGCCAGGCCCTGACTTCGAACCCACAGGGCAAAAGAAAGAGGGGATGTCCAAGAAACACCTGGAGGCGTGATTCGGAGTCAGAACTAAAGGCTCAGGACATGACCTGGCAGGATGCAGTGAAGGTAGACCAGAATTAATCGAGTTCGTTGAAGGACTGTCATGGATGGCCTATGTTCCTCAGGGAACGACAGGCCTAAGTTAGTAAAATGTATGCTAAGTTTTCTGAACACCCGTTTTAATGAGTCCTCTATACACTGCACACTGAAGAATTCTGATTCTGTGGTATTATTGTGGAGATAGAGTAATCTGTCCTTTGATCTAGAATAAAATAAATTGAAATGTACAGTGTATTTTTTAAATTGTGATCAAATCAAACATTCATTACTTTCGAATAAGCCAAGATTGAGAGATTGAACACTTCATTCGCGGGTATTTTGCCCAACAACGTTGCCAAACAACGATTTATGTTCATCAGCACTTCGTTTAGCTGCAATAATGTAGCCCTCTCCGATTCTTTTTTAATCTCAAAAAAAAAAAAAAAAAAAAAAAAAAAAAAAATCGGAGAGGGCTACATTATTGCAGCTACACTTCATTATCTTTGAACATTTTTCCTGAGGGTAAATGCAATGTGCCCTATGTTGAAAATGTACATGTAATAGATAAGCTTACATGTGATATCTACACCCTTACATACTATAATTTTCTACATTAAAAAAACTCTTTCTTAAGTGTATAAAGGGTCCTTAAAACAAAAATACAGATCAAAGTGCCTCTTGTGATAAGAACGATAACTCTGCTTGAAAAAAATGTTATTTCCGTAAATATCCGAATAATTTTTTTTTGACTTACCAATGGTAATTAGTAAGTCAAAATGAATTGTTTATCACTACGAGTATATGGTTACCACTTTGCTCATTGTTACAATTTGAAACAAACAAAATAGTTTAGGAAATCGAACAAAATCAACATTTCTTTTTCTTTAAAGGTGTGACGTCATTTTGCTAAGGTAAACAGTAATGGCGGCATTCATGGACTGAGAAGACAACTTTAGAAGTTTATGGTTTTCATTGGATTGTCTCGGTAGTATAATGTTATGATAATTGTACTTAACAAGTTAACATATATCCATAACGTTTTATGAGTGTGTTTTTTAACATAACCTGCAGACTTTGTGTTTATTACCTATCCTAATGCAAAAAGTGTTTGGGAACCTTGCAAAACCTTCGAAGAATAATATGATAGGATATTTTCTACATTGTATCTCCTAGATAATGTGTAACGGGGTGTGCCTCGGGCAAATGCTTCAGTATTTTATGTGTATTAACAATGGTAACATTTATAAGTCTCCGTATACGCCACATTTGGGAATTGACTCTGTAGGACATTAAACACTGTTAAACGTGTACTAGACCTATTTTAATTCTCATTCTCTCCGTATCAAAACATTGATATGCTGGGGGACAAGAACAGGAAATCTACACACACACATAAATACACTACTTCGAAGGAAAAAAACTTTTTGTTTTCAAAATGTTCAAAATTGCTATGAGTGTGCATTTATTATCCACATTGTTGATAGTTCAGTCTTGTCCATCCCAATGAAAACATTTTCCGAGTTTTTTTTTTACAGTTATGATTTGCCTACTAGTTACATGCAGCTAAAATTTTAAGGATGTCGACAAATGTTTAAGTGCATAATATGTATGCATATTTTTGTACATTTGCAGAGTTTATCTTATCAGGGACCAATATACTAGTATATTTAGGCAGAGAAATTAGTATACTTAGTGTAAATGACCCTGTTCTTATGTAATACAATATATTTCAATAGTTTGATTTTTGTCTTCTGAATTGTAGAATTTTACAAAACTCAGTAGGTCCTAGTAAAATCACAGATACTTTTGGAAGTCTTATGATATATACCAAAAATCAATATTTGCAATTAAGTTGAACTTTGGTATCTCGAACACTGATATCTCGAATACTATGGATATATCGAAGTGTTTTAGAACCACTTATTCTATAATAAGTATTTTACCCCTGATATCTCGAATCCTCAGATATCTCGAAGTATTCTCTTGGTCCCATCGAGTTCGAGATAACGAGGTTTGACTGTATCTTTAATTATAACATTGCAATTATGGTAAAAGCACAAGTATTCTGCACATAGAGGGAATTTTCCTCTGATTTTTTCACTGGCTTTGGAAAAAGCTTAATTTAATACTGTGTTAAATCTACAAACTTAAAGAATTTAGGGGCAATTATTTATTTATTTATTTTTTTTACAACAGGTACATGTAACAGAATGGGACAGCAAAATTCTAAATATAACAGTTCTCAGAATGACCCAGAGAAGGGTGTCATCCCACAGAATACAAAGAAGATCCACGGTCTGTCCAGAATTCTGACTGCCAAAGCTGAGCACAGTAGGGAGGTTGCCATCCAGGGTTGGGACAAACATAATGAGAATATGGTGAGGTCTTGCATTACTAGAGTCACCATCATATTTTTTTCTATATTTTTTTCAAGAGAGTAGGAAATTTTTTTTAAAAGTCTCATATTGTCAAACTGTATTCTTATCATATTATGATGAGATTTTCATCTCCCTTAAATGTGTATTTCATATAAAGTGCCCCTTTGATTACAACATATAAGTCATTTGTCTTGTTTTTGTTTTTTGTTTTTGTACTCACTGAAGTCAAATACTGAACAAAGGATTTCTGTCAAAGTTTATGCTATGTCATCTGCATCTGGTGACCTGACTTGAAGGAAATAAGGTGCATCATACAGTCATGTTTCAATTTTTTTTTAATAAGCACTTTCATTTTTCATAGAGAAATACACAGTTGTTGAAGGGGTTGTTTAAGCAACTTGATCCTACAGTGACCAAGGCTGTAGGAGATTTGAGAGGTGAAATCCAACTTTCCTACAAGTATGACTTCAAGCGCCATCTCTTATTGGTCAAGGTTATCAAGTGCAGAGAACTCAAAAGCAAAGACTTAAGGTCGAAAATGTCAGATCCATATGTCAAGGTAAGATTTTTTTCATGTTTAAGACATAGTATCGCTGGTGGTTAAAGGAAAGTTGAATTTCAGCAGGTAATTTTTTTTGTGATTAAATGATATAAGACAAAGTTCATGTGTAAAATAATCAATGAATTTAGAAATTTGAAATGCATAATCTCACTGGAAAAATGCACGGAATAATTAAAAGTCATGCTGACTTATTTCATAGACCAGTATTCATGGTCCCAGACCATAGTACAGAAACATGAAAGAATGACACTTGGATCTGCATAAAGGGATTATATGTAGTGTAAAATAGGTCAAAATTTCCAAACACAATGTTTTAATGTAAGAAAATAAACAGTTGATCTTTTTTATTTCCTATGAAGTTGACACTCCTACCAGACAGAGAAGGGGCAGGCGAGAAAAGAACAGCCATGGTCAGACAATGTAACGATCCCATCTATGATGAGATTTTTGCCTTCCCTCTGGAGGAGTATGAGCTGAATGACCTGAAGATGGTCGTCCAGGTTATGGATGCTGATATCATGGGACAGGACGACTTTATCGGAGAGGTCATTGTGGACATGAAGACGTTTAACTTCAGAGTGGCACCATTTCATACGGCCTGGTACACACTTAACATGGAGGTAAAGTTGTTAAAGCATCAGTGTTTGTTAAAGGGTCACTCATAAGCTTTCCATGTGATGAAAACTGTATAATTTTATTTTCAGTTAAATTTTCACTTGGATTCTTTAACTAAAAAGTTTACAAAGTTTGCACTTCAAGGAGTAATTTTCACTTGAAAATGTGGATGTGGTTAGCTTAAACTTAAATGATATTAAGTCTTATGATAAGTCACACCTGTTTTCTGATAATTTTTTTTTATCATGCCACAAAGAGGATTTAGGTAAACACAGTTTTAATATCTTTTTTTTCCTCCCAGACTGACCTAAATGTCACAGGAGAACTAGAGTTTGCTGTGGAGTTCCAGCTCCCCTCAAGCCTTTTGGTGACGGTGTATCGGGGGCGGGGGCTCAGTGCTAGAGATGAAGGAAAAACAGCAGATCCATTTGTTAAACTGACAGTTACTGGAACATCGTCTATGTTCCAAACTCAGGTCATTACACTAATAATCCAGATATTTATGTATTTATATCATGTATCTACATGTATTTTTTATAAAGAAAAAAGTATACTAAAAAATTAAATCACTGTTTTTCATAAATTTTTATATGTTTTAGACTTTGCAAGAATGACATCAGCAAGTATTAAATTTTCTGCATCATAATGGCAGACAGTGTTTTCCATTTGAGTTATAAATTCTGTACATTGATTATTTGATTTATACAGGTGAGAAGAGACACACTGGATCCAGAATGGAACGAGACATTTGAGTTTGATGTGACACAAGAAGATCTTAGCAGCAGGTGAGTAGGAATTCTTCTTTCCATTTAACAATTACAATAAATAACGGTGGTGATTAATAATAAATCTTTAGTACTTTGAAATGGTGACAATACTGTCAACCTACTTATTTACAAAGGGTTTTAAACATGTATTTACGTGGATTAACAATTTTGGTTTTGTCTGCTGGTATGAAATTCTGTTGAATTGTATCATATACAATATATAAATTGCTGTGAATGCATATAAAATCATCACTTTACTACAGAAGGTATTTATACAGTAATTCATGATTCATTAATACACTCAGCTCTACATTTAATATAAAAAATATTTCTAGATACCTGATTTTTCATGTGATTGACCAAGATAGAGGGGTCAACAATGACTCTTTGGGACAAGTCGTAATTGACCTTCGAACTTTTGACCCAGAAAAACGTCTCCATGAAACTCACAATCTTGCTGATCTGGTAAGTTAAAAAAATAGTGTATCAAATTTACCTGTGATTTTTCAGGTGTTACTTGTTCTGCAGATGTATAATGATTTATGGGGTTAATATATGTGGTAATTGTGACGTTTTGTATTCATAAATAAATTTTAAAAAGACCTGTAAACATATGGTAAATGCATTTTGAAATCATATCAAAATGTATATATGTAAAATTCAAATACAAATTATAAAATTTCTGAAATTTAATTAAATGCATTTAAAGCTATATGATTAATTGTAGGAAAAACCATTTCAACTATGATCAATTTAAAATGAGACAAAACCTTAATAAATATGTATGGTAAAAAATGATATAATGAAATAAACATTTTCTTTCAGATGAATGGTTTATTTCTTAAGTGTATACCAGGGTTGTCCCCAAGAAGTGAAATAGCAGGGGACATTAAAAGAGTAGAAGGGGTCTGGGGTCCTCCCCTAACAGGGGGTTGAGGGGGAATGCCAGAATAACTGGGAAATTCCCCGGCTCCCGGGTCTTAGGGACAATCCTGGTATACTGATACTCTAAATATTGTTATAACTGAGGTAAGAAATGTATTTGTTCACATATAACAGAGGAACACAGAGTTGCTGAGGTCAAAGTGGGGACAACACGCTACAGCCCAGGAGTTTAAGGAGGCATTCATTGCCCATGCAGCAACCAAACATCCCAATTTCCTTTTTGCTGAGCATTCTGGGAAAAAAGTAAGACATATTATATCTGCAGAATACATTTTTTTATCCATCTGTAATGTATGTCTTTCATTGTTTGTGAATCGCTTGATAAATTCTTCAAGTTTGTTTATGTTTTATTTGTTTCCAATAAGAAAAATGACTTTTAGACACTGAAATAATGATTTACTGCTTTTGAGGTAAGGTATTCTGAAATGTCACCTGTTTGATATTTACATGTTCTGTATCCGATTCGGATGAATATTGAATCATCTAGGACTCTTGTTGATAACTTTAAATTCTGCAATAGTCTCTTTTTTCCCTGAACAAAAAGGGAAATCCTTTTTTTCCATTTTGAATTTTTGGTTTTCTGTCATTTACTAGTAATTAAAATTAATTGCGCAAGAATTTTATTTGAATGTGATTAAGCTGCAATGAAAATTATGATTGATTGTATATTGTTTTAAGTGGCATTCGAGAATTTTTCACTTATATAAAGATGTCTCCATATACCAGTAAAGGGCTTTAGGATCTATGCTCGGCACTCTGGGCCATATGATTGAGCAGTGAAGGTTCTTTATTGTGCCAACGCCTTTCGTGACACAGGACCTAGGTTTTTAAGGTCTCACTCGCAAGACCATTTTCACTTCTAATGCCAGGCGCTTGACGAAGGAACAGACACTACCTACGTTTACGTCTTATGTTTGACGCGGCACGGCGAACGAAAATCGAACCCGGGGCTCCCGATCACGAAGCTACATGTAAAGGCCGGTTTACACTATGCATCTTGACACATGCATCTAAATTCCTACTTCTATATTGCCTCATGCATCTTGTTATATAGACTATGTGTCTTGACACATGCATCTTCAGAATACTTTATAAAAATATGAAGTTTTATCCTCTTAAAAAAATAACAAAGCCCTCAAATTCTCTTTCTAGATTTATATTAGCTGAGCGAATCATTCCTAATTTCCTTTATATGGTAATTCTGGGAAGATATAATTTAATACATATTCCAAACAAAAATCCTCTTTGTGATAATAATCAAATTACTTTTTCTTATTGTATTTTAATCAGTATTTTCTTTGTTTTGGTTCTTTTGGGATGCAATTTTTGCAACAATATGGAGGAAAATAAGGCTTATGATCCAATCTCAACTCTGACCTTTCTTTTAATTGGTCAGTTCCATGCATCTTGACACAAGGAATAGAACAAGTTCTATTCCATCTGTCAAGATGCAACACCTATTAAATTTAACACAAGGCCTATTTACACTGTGAACTTAGGTGCATGCATCCAAGATGCATGTGTCAAGATGCATAGTGTAAACCGGCCTTAACGCCCTTTCACTAGGTTACCGGGACCGGTTCAAAAATCCAAAATATTACCTAAAACTAGCCTTTTATAAAAATTCACACTCTCTGATATTAAAAGGCAAGTATTAGGTTATATTTTTTGATTTTTCATTTGTAATACTTTGTTAATGTGTAATAAAAAATATTTTATTTTGAAAAACTCAAAGAACCCTTGGGGTACGGAACACGGGGGGGGGGGGGGGGGGGGTCCCGTCCCCAATTCAAGCACCTGTGTAAGTAATTAGTAAAAAAATATGTGTGGAATGTTATATTGATTTTTTTAACAAATTACCTTACTTGTAAAAGTGAGACTTTCTTTTGCATTTAGGAATATGCAACTTGCATATATCAACACTCTACTAAGCAGTTTTTCATGAAATCAATGTGATAGCTAGATGTAATGCTGTTATATTTTATTCCCGTTACACTCACAGGCACTTGACGTTTTAAACCGTTCTCTTTATTGATAAAAATATCCACATACTATAATAATAGTATGGGGATATTTTTATCAATAAAGAGAAATGTTTAAAACGTCAAGTGCCTGTGGATACACTGTCTGGCATAACCCGGTTTCCAGAATGACCTGGATAGCCCATAGTTGTACATGTAAGTTGCACAATTAGATCATCAGCAGTCAAACAGATTTATATTACGTCAAATAAAATAAAGAACCCTATATCCCCACTACTCCCCCCCCCCCCCCAAAGGAAACAATTTTGAAATTGAACATTCATTAAGAAACGAAATAATTTCATTCAACTCAAAAGATTTGTAAGTCAATTGCTTTGGCGTATCTTCGCTAGAAAAGGGCTTCTCTTGGTCAAATCAGAGTTGTCTCTCTTTTCCCTGATAGTTTGTACAAAATACCACCGTCTGCAAGTAAGGAAGTTGACTTTAAGAACAGATTTAATCGATATATTCAACTCTTTTCAATCGAAACTTTTCTTTAGATTTCTTGGTAACATTTTTAAACGTAATTTTTCATGATTGTGTAAACAAAGAAATTTAATGTTGTTGACTAATTTAAATTCGTATACAGGTAATTCTTAATATTGATTTATTTTAACTTATCTTTCATGTCTTTTCATTTTGATCTGTTTGATGAAAACATCATCTTTACTTATCTTGTTTTCTGGTTGCGCCTTAAGGAACCTACACTGGAGTTGATATTCAGCATAATTCATATTTCAGTTGTTTTGACGAAGAATTTGGAAATTTTCTATAGGTGCAGTAGTTCTTTGACGGAAACACGGATTTCCCGCGTTGAATATGACTTATCTGATATGAATCACACTTGTGTAATTTAAATTGTCTAAAAGGACAATATGGATTTGCTTGCAGAAATACTTTATTTCAATTTTATGATATGCCAGCAATGATTGAAAGTTTCGTTAAATTAAAATGTGACCGGAAAAAGAATAAATGTGGTCTTGACTCCCTTTTATCCCAAACTCTTATGTTCTGTCTTGCTCTCAAATTGTTGATATAAAGCAAATGTTACAACTTAAACAAATGTAAAATGCCTTTATGAAAAATAGGGAAGGAATTAAAAAATCATAACCTATTTATATATCTTTCTTGTAGATATATTTTCCCTCATTTACTCCTCTGAGCAAAGGCATAATTAAATTCTTAAAATAAACGTACGTGGAACTTAAAATCTGTATGTGCATGTATTTTAAAAGAAAATTTCTATGACTGAATGGATCGCGCGGCCCAGCGGCCTAAACTGATTTTCTTAATTTCTAACGGAAATGCTCAATCCTAGTACTTTATCTTAGATATCTGTGGTGTTCAAGGCTAGAAGATGACGACATCTGAATTGTTTTTCCCCATTCAATTATAAAAAAAAAAATTTCACGTCTTTTCTTGATTATAACCATATTGCTAAGGACGTAACCAAATGGTGAGGGTGGGAAACGGTGACGGTGGGGATGGGGGGGGGGGGTAGTGCGAGAATCCCACCCACTTCACAGGGTAATCACAGGGCTTCCCTGTGTTAGCTCTCATATTTACATGTAGCAAACTAAAGTCACTGATTATTTTTTTCAAATTTAAATTGTAATTAATGCGAATTTCCCTATCTTCATGCACATCTTAAATCTGGGAGTAAATGTATAGAATATGTATTAGAATCAGAAGCAATTTCATCGAAAAATCAATATTTTATATAATATTTTTATTTTTTCTTGTACATTTCCATGCCTTAAGTGGTCCTTGACTGTAAAAGCGCTGCACGTATGTATTTATGGATAAACAAGGAAACAGATTTTACTGTTTCTCCTTGACTTGAGAGTCTCAGCTAGAGGCAATATCGGGATTTTTCATCTTAGCTGTTTTTCGCGGTATAGAAAAGAGGAACAAAATTATTTTATTTCCGCAACATTATCCAATTAGATTTCTTGAACGTGTTATATACATTTCATTGGGTAATTTTTTCCTGTCTCACGCTTTGAAACAAAGATGGAAATAATTTTTTTTCTGTTATATGAATTTCTTAGCAAAGGAACCCAAAACGTATTGATCTATAATATATCGAACTGATTCATGAGAAAATATTGTTTTATATGATTGTAGTGTGAAAATAGTTGCATTTTCCTAGAAAGTCATGGAGAAAATCAGCATTGTAAAGCAAACTTTGTTTCTTCCCGGTCTCAGTAACTACGCTAAAAATATAATTTTCGGGTACAAGTAAGGCAATGTAGAATTCTAATGTAACCTTTTTTGATACAGTGACAGTAAAATATATATATACCGTTCATTGCATAGGCGTCGGAAGCAAATTGAAAGTGGGGTGGCTAATTGAAAGGGGGGGGGGGCGCTAAACCAACGAAAAAAAGGTAAGCCAAGTTTTCAATGCCTATATTATGTCTATCTTTGCAAAAAAAAGTGGGGGGGCTAAGCCCCCCTAGCCCCCCCCCCCCCGTTCCGACGCCTATGCATTGGAAAATGTCTCAACGATTAAATTGCGTTAGATTTTAATGAATTGTTAGTCTTAATACTATAGTATGCCCACATACCTTTAAAAATAGAAAAAAAAAACAGCATGATCGTCATAGGTTAAATTAACTCGGTTTCACACATATGCATAAATCGATTCTGGAATACATGTAGAAGAATAGAAGCCCCTGTATATCAAAACATCAACTTAAAAGAAACGCCATTGTTAAATCTCACCTGAAGAATAAAAAATGCGTCATAAACCCCCACCCCCATTTACATATAAACTATACATGTAAATACATGTACTTATAGAATAAATATTTATAATTAAGGCACAGCTGTAGTGAAACTGAAATATTTCTATTTTTTAACCGTGGCCCATTTATAATGTTTTTTCTTCTTCTATAATCTTTTCAGATATAAATATACTGAGTTTACTTTAATCGTTCATGTATCGAGCACCGACATCCTGTGGATTATACATTTGTAGAATTTTTTCAAGATTTGGTATCCGTCCCTGTTAAATAATTCTTTTAAGTTAAGGAAAATCAGTTCTAAATGAAATCAGTTTTCCTACATACAGTATAAGACAAGCGTTTCGGGAATTAATGCTCGGCGTCAAAATTTCAAGGCCTTTCAAAATTGTTAATGAACTGGCCAACTCAAAATTTGAGATCTAATATCAAAAGTCAAGACATTGAAATTATCTGCATTTTAATGTCTGTAAGA